GGCTGTGAGGAGAATACAAGGGCATGTAGTAACAATGCCTGATGTGACGCATGTCCAGGGAGTGGTAGCATCTTGGCCCCCAAATCATACACTTCCCCACAGCTTGCTCCTGCCAAAGTTTGAGAATGTCTAGTTCCTGGTGGTGATTTGGCCATGACCACAGGCCCGTGTTTCAACAATCTGGCCCTGGACATTTTGCCAGTCTCAGAGTGGGTGGTGCCAGTCCTATCAATAGAATCAATATGCTGTGCCTCCTTCCCCTCTCTGAGCTTGATTTCCCCAACTAAGATGAGGGAGTCAGACTTCCCTTGGAGGGCCTCTCAGTGGCCACCTCCTAGCACTCTGTGCCCTGTGAAGATTTCCCCACTGCCAAGCAGGATGAAATTCTCACAGATTGCTCTGGCTTCTTGGGAGCATGAATGCTCAGTAAGTGCTTCAAGGCTGGCAGCTGGCACCCAGTGTGAGGTGTCACTAACTCCTCGCCAAGAAACCCTAATGCTAGCAGGAGGCCGATTTATCTCATGGCCTCTCCCCTGTTAAAAATGCAACTGTAAGCTGCTCAAATGAAGGGGTGAGAGGTACAATGCCTACTAGTAGACTGTCCATACACAATCTCTGCCATGGACACCCAAGGCATGGGGGAATGGAAGGAGAGATCAGGCTGGCAAAGTCCTGATGTGGGTCCCTGGGTCCAGAGGGCTTAGGCACTCCTTGGTCAAAGCAGGAGAAGCACACACTGTTCCAAGGGCGTTATAGCCTCCTCAGAGCAGCTGCATTTGAAGAATGCTGCTGCCTATGTGCCAAGCATGAATATGAGCACTTCTCATGTGTTGACTCATTTTAAAACAATCTTGTGGGTAGGTACTATTGTCACCACTTTATAACTGGGATGCCACGGCCCAGAAAGGTTAAGAAACTTGCCCAAGATCACATTTAGTAAGTGGCACAACAGCATGCAAATCCAAGCTCCTGGCCCCAAGAGTCTATGCTCTTCTCTTAGCTTTTTGAAATCCTCCCACATTCTAGCAGCAGCCCCTTCTTATAGGCGAGGAAGCTGGGCCTCTGCTGCTTAGAGCTGGTGCCTCTACTCTCCACTCTTGGATTCCATTCTGCAAGTGGCAGGCTCTCCTCTGTGACTTAATGGTGATAAGAGCACTGCCATCAAGAGCCAGCTCTGTGCCTGGCATGGGAGTAGGCCCTGCACACGCCTTCTCTCTAACTGCCACCACAAGCCCAGGAGGCAGTGGCCTCTGTCCCACTCTGCAGTCAGAGGCCACACAGCTGCCAATGGCAACTCAGAGCTTCCACCCTGGCCGACTAGGTCCTAAGTTCATGCTATTTCCACCACCCGCTGGACACTTACTGCCCCATCTGGCCACCTCTCAGGAAAGGGAAAGGGGCCGGAGCCCATGTGAGGAGCATGCCGTGTTCTCTTTGCTCACAGTCTCTGGAGTCTTGGGAACATTTCCTGATGGGGCCTGCTCAGCAGGAGGCTGGCAAAAAGGAAACCATTTTGACAATGAATTGCTTAGGACACAAAACTGGCTTGAGAGACACCTCACTTAGTGGTCCTATCACAAAGTAAGAACATATTCAGGGAGGGACACATGATCGGTTGGGAGGGGGATTCAATTTGGTGCAATGCCACACAGGAAGACCAGGCTGCCATCTGAGATCCTCACTGCAGCTCCTGTAAATCCTGCAAAGCCAGACACTGGTGTGAACTCATTACCCTTCCCCACATCCAGCCCTCCTGGCCCCACAGGCCTGGAGGGGAGGCTGCAAGAGCCGTGTCCAAACAGCACCAGGGGCAGCCTAGGGTCCCCTGCACAGCCAGGTGGGGCAGGGTGGGCACTGCTGCCACCTGATCATTCCCCAGAGGTCCAGTTTATTGGGAGGTCATTGATGATGGCAGCAGCCAGCCACCCACATGAGTCCAGAAAAAGTGGGATAAGAAAAGCAGTGTAATCAGGCCAGTTCATCTCCTTTTATCTTTGGAAATTGCCTGGCTTCAAAGCCCCACATGGGTCTACCCCAAACTTGCCTCCCCCAGGCTCTTAGATTGCCCGTAAGCCCTCTTCTCTGCATCACAGGACCCATTTGCTGTAACAGTAATCATAGCCCTACAGTTAAGCAGGTCCTGTGTGTCAGGCAGGCCTGGGCTGGGGGTTGATGTCTTTATTAGCTCTATTTTATAGAAAAAAATCAAGCTCAGTCAGAAATGACTTGCTCAAGGTCACAGGCCAAAAAGTTGTGAAGTCTGAATTTGAACCCTGGTCTGTTGGGTTTGAGGCACAGAATCTACTAGTAAAGCCAGTGAAGGACTGTTCACGTGCTCACCTGTGATTACCTTCTACTTGTTCCTCTCTCTGAGAGCACCTGGACAGACCCCAGGGATCTGGGGAGGGTTGCCAGTGCATGTCTTGGCAGATCTGATGGAGTTTCTGCTCTGCCATTTACCCCATATCCCTAGTAATCAGCATCAGGCAAGGCACCCAACAAGCATCTGTTGAGTGAAAAAGTGAGTAAATCAAGACCAGCTCTCCCTGCTGGTGCCTGGGTTCTTACACATCCTCCTTTCCCAGGAGCTGGGCCCACTGTGGCTCATTTTCTGACTGTAGAAAGCAGGCTCTGCTCGCTGCCAGGACTGCTGTAGGCACTGGTTATTGGGGCACCCAAGGCTCTGCCAAAGCCACGCTTGGGAGACAGATACCCCATGGGACCTCAGAACCCTCTATGGGCTCACATGGGCAACTGCCAAACACATTTCTTACAACGGAAATTGTAAATCACTCAAATATACTTTCAGGTTCAGGCTTACTTTCATAGCAGCCCAGTGTGAAGGATGAATGCACAGGGGCCCAGAGAGGTTAAGTGACCTGAATTTAGTCACTCAGATAGTTCAGGCGGAGTGAGGACTTGTACTCAGGTCTTCTGACTCAAGATCCAGTGTCTTCCCACCATTCCAGGCTCCCACTCTCCACCAGGCTCACTGATTGGAAAGGGGCAGGAGGGCCAAGACCGGTTTGGCTCAATGGATAGAGCGTCGGCTTGGGGACTGAAAGGTCCCGGGTTCGATTCCGGTCAAGGGCATGTACCTTGGTTGCGGGCATATCCCCAGTAGGGGGTGTGCAAGAGGCAGCTGATCGATGTCTATCTCTCATCGATGTTTCTAACTCTCTATCTCTCTCCCTTCCTCTCTGTACAGAATCAATAAAATACATTTAAAAAAAAAAAAAAAAAAAAAAAAAAAAAAGGAAAGGGGCAGGAGGGTTGAGACTTACATCTGGGGCCTTGAGGAATTTTGCAGAATGGGACTTAGTTTAGCCTAATCCCTCCCAGAGTGCTCCCCATGGTGCCTCCCCCCACCCCCACCCCCCATTGACAGTTTGATTAATAGCTGTGCCCATGCTGTGCAAGGTCAGAAATCAACAGCCTTGCCCCAACCTCCACCAATTCCCTGACTATCTGCAGACGGTTAGGAAGAAAGAGAGAAGAAGCCTCCTGGATTACATCGCTGACTTACACTAGAAGCCAAAGCTCCAACAGCCGAGACCCACACCAGCCATCTTTCCCAGTGTGGCTGTAGGCTGTGGGGAAGGTCTGTGCTCTAGGCAGACAAGGCAGCTGCGCACCTAACCTGGAATCCACACATTGCCTATCTGAGGGTAAAGAAACATCTGTCATCCTCCCCTCTCACTCAGGAGTCCTCTCTAGGCAGTTATCCTAAGACAACATTTTTTGCACAGAGATGATAATTGCTGCATTATTTTTAAGAGCGAAAAATTGGAAACAACCTTTGTCCAACATTAGTGGATGGTTAAATGAATTATGGCACATCCCGGCAATAACTGCAACCACTAACAGCATTCTTTATGAAAAAATTTAAATGAGTTAGAGAAACACTTACGATATAACATTAAGTCGAGAAAACAAAAAGAAAGGACGTAAAATAGTATATAGGAGAGAAAGGCACACAGAAGAAAAGATTGGATGGATATGAGCCAAGATGTCAGTAGAGGCTGCATCTATGTGGTAGAAAGAGATTTTTTGGGCCTGCTTTACATTTTTTTTATACATTCTCAAATTCCCTACAGTCCTATGATAATTGGGGGGCCGGGGAGCTACCCAAATACACGCCCTCCTCCTCACAAGGGGAGTGAATTGTCTGAACAGCCAGAACGGTTGTGAAGCCGGATGGTTAGAGGAAGGAAGGGAGGTTCCTTTTCCCACAACACAAGTCCTTCTGCCAGGGCCATACATTGGGGGGCTGTCCCTTATAAACCTACTTTTGAGATTTGTGATCTGACTTGGTTCTTGGGTCTCTATTTCAGGAGCCTATGTTTCTAGGGTGTGAGAAATACAGGTACTGAATTTTTCCGTCTCTGGCCTCAGCTAGCTCTTGCCTCTCAGGAAAGGGGGGGGTCAGGCTGCCTCCAGCATCTTTTCACATAAGAGACCTGCACAGAGGGGAGCTGGCAACTTGGATGAGTGTTAAATTTTGAACCCGAGGCCCTGCCCACAATAAGGCACCTTGCAGTCTCTTCGGCCAAGAGAGGCTTTTGAGGTGCTGGGTTAGGAGAATCGCAGGCCAAAGACAAGCCACCGACACACGGCAGAACCTGTGCTACTCCCTCACGCATCCACCGAGTCAGAGAGCGAGACACCACCCTGGACCCTGAAGGCGGCCATCTCATTGGAAATGTGTTCAGTTTCTCTGGGAAAACACCCAATGTCGTTTTACAGCTGTCCTTGGAAGGGTGGGTTAAACGAGTCTCCTTCACTCACGGTCCCCACTTACACTTCCAAGTTTGTTTGAGCTAAGAAATAAGTGATCTTGGCACAAAGAAGTGTGTGAGGAGAGTGATGGTTGCCCCAGATTTAGAAGCCTCAGAAACCTAAACAGTCCAGAAGGAACCCAAACTTGGAGAAATAGGGAGCCAACAATAAGTTCAGCTCAGCCACCAGGGGGGCAGTGGGCCTCCCCGACGGCCACTTACCAAACATGTTGCCCTGGTAGCCGTCCTTGGTGAGGGGCTGGAGCTCGTTTTTCCCCATCGCGTAACGCTTATAGCTCTGCCAGGCGAACTGCATCATCTATAAGAAAAGGTGGGCAACATGAGCACGGCAACTCCCAAGAGGGCGGGCTGGCCACCCGGCTTTGCCCTTTGTAACAGGGTTTGAAATCACATAAAAAAAATAATCTTCCAAACTGAGGAAAATGACTTTCTCCTGCTATAATTTTATTCTTAGTTACAGCTGCCCGGAAGGCCATTGTCCTTGGACAACCCCACATGTCCAGAACCTGGACACAGATTTCCTAGAGAAGACAGTCGGAGCCAAAGCTAAGGCCCACCTCGTCCAGGAAGACTCCTCTGTTTTGCTCTGGCCTCAAGTGACCCTCTGAAGGAAGGAACAACTCAATGAATGATGCCCGTCTCAATCAAATAGAACAATCCCCGAGCAAAGGATAGCAAATCCATTTTGTAGAAAAGGAGACAGGTCATATATGAGGCGACTTGCCCAAGATTACACAGTAAATCAGTGCTGGGAATTGAACTCATACCTCTGGCTCCAAAGCGTTAAGACTGTCCCCAAAGCCTTGGTGCTGTCCCCACATGAGTCTCTCCGAACTCCTCCAACATTTGGCTGGACCTACCCTGGCTGTCCCAGGCTCCCTGGTACTCCAGCTGCTCACTGTTATTTTTTGTTTCCCTGGCTCTGAACTATAAACCCCTTGAAGTCAGAAACTACCTGGACCTGCCTCAGTTTCTCCCACAGCACCAGCACAGGGCTTGGCACACATAGGCAGCAATAAGTATCTGTCAACTTTGTCACCGAGCAGGTGAGTTGTTACTACATTAAGGAAACTGTCAGCTCCTTGGGAGCATCCCACTGGAACCTGGTCCCCTGGCTGCACGTGGCACTGAGCTGGAGAAATGCAAGGTGACGGTGGCCCCAGCCCACTTCCCTGATCTCCTTTATTTGCTCCTGTGGTGCTGCCTTTTTGCCTTTGCAGCAGGAGAGCAGAGAAGAGCTCTGGGGTGACTGTGGGGCCGAGGAGGGAACCAGGGCAGGCAGCTAAGGGACAGATGGGTAGGGAGAAGCTTGGTACAGTGGAAAGAATTCTACCTCTGTCACTACCTCTTTGACTTTGGCCAGTGACTAAACATCTCTGAGCCTCAGTTGCTTCATCTTTGAATTGGGAATAACAGGCCTGCTTTACCACATTCCTGAAAGGTTTAAATGAAATGCCTGGTTTCTGACCTGACACAGCAAGTGATCAACAAACACTCTTCTGTCCACGCCTCCTCCCATCCATCCTATAGGTCCTCAGACTTCAGCGTGCACCAGTCACCTGGAGGGCTTGTGAAAAGGGCCCCATTCCTGAGTTTCTGATTCAGCAGGCCTGGGGTGGCCCAAGAGTTTGTTTTTCTGACAAGTTCCCATGTCACCCCGCTGGCCCACGGACCACGTTTGAGAACACGGATCTATCTTACGTGTTTATTTTTTGTCACCTCACTTCCAGGCTTTCTTTTGTTTTTCTTCTCTCCCTGGCCTCCCTTCCTGCCTCAGCCCCCCTTCTGGACATTTCCACCTGCATCCTCTGTGTTCTGCAGCTCCAGCTCTTCTAGACAAATCAGAACAGTAACTTCTGCTGTGCTTGCTGCACAGCCCAGGAGGGCAGCCATGACACATCTATGACCTGTGCTCTCTATCAAATGACAGAATAGCCTAGAACCTCTCCATTTCACTGTTGGTGAAACTGAGGCCCAGAAATGGGAAATGCTCAGGGCGGCACATTGAGCAGGGCTGGAATCCAGCTCTTTCAACTCCCAGGCCAGCAGACCTGACCCCTTTTCCCTCTCTCCCCTTCTCTCCCGCCCCGTGCCTGGCACACGTGACACACGTAAATGTCATGATGATGCATGCCAAGCACTTTGATCCTGGTTCCATTCCTCTGTAATTTGCTTTTTCTTTCTTTCTTAAAAAATATATTTTATTGATTTTTTACAGAGAGGAAGAGTTAGAAACATCAATGAGAAACATTAATCAGCTGACTCCTGAACCCCCTCCCCCCCTACTGGAGATGTGCCCAAAACCAAGGCACATGCCCTTGACCAGATTCGAACCCGGGACCCTTGAGCCCGCAGGCTGACACTCTATCTACTGAGCCAAACCCATCAGGCTCCTCTATCATTTTCTATTTATCTTGAATTGCCAATAACAGAAACTAATTGCTGGGTATGAGCACTTGAGGGAGTCTGGTCTCCTCCCTCAGTCTCTCTTATGCAGAGCCCCTTGAGTAAGTCAGTGTGAGGGGAGAGAAGGGCGGTGGAGGGTGGGAGAGCAGCAGGAGGCTGTTAAACATAAATGACAGCAGGAAAGGAGGAGCAGAGGTCTGGAGGGGAAAAGACAGTACCCTATCCTCAATATGCCCTCCTGCTTAAGGGAGGGAGAAATGTGGGTGTACAGGAGTAATTAAGAAAATCACAGGTATCTACATATTCTCAAAGAGGCTGTCACTGCAGGAATGCTGAGATGTTTGGAATGTGGGACGTTCTCATAGACATCCACATCAATGAAGGGGAATGATGGCACCAGTGATCCCGTGTCACTGGGGACTGGATTCAGAAGGCCATCAGAGTTTCTCTCAACTGCATGCATGTACACACACACACACACACACACACACACACACACAGAGTGCACAGACTCGCAAACCGTGGGTCTCCTATCTTGAGTCATGAGTGGCGGCTCAGCCCAGGCACTGGATGAGCAGTGAACAGGAAAGACCCCCAGCCAAGAAGTCCTCATTTCTCTTCCTCACGCACCTAAAGCGGCACACACCAGATGTCCTGTCTGTGCTTGGCCGCAGTTTGGACTGCAGCTATGCGGGAGTGCTTGGTACAGTGGAAAGCACTGAGCCAAACCCGTCAGGGCTCCCACCCTCTACTTCCCTGCCAACTCTGTCTTCCTTCAGATCCCAGCTGAAAGAGCACTTTTGCAGAAAGACCTCCTTGCCAGCCAAGCCCAAGTCAAGAACCTACTTCTACCCCACATTCCTGATACCCAGTCACTTAGCAGCCTGCAGCCAAGCTTTTATGCTTGCAACTATTTACCCTTATTCATTGCCACAAGTCCAGCGACTCACTCGGGGATATCACAGGCATATGACTGGTGTTCATTAAATACTTACTGAATGAATGTCACACAAGAAAATTATCTCTGGAGCTTAATATATGGCTGAGAGACTCACTGTGGACCGTACTTGGCACAGGATAAGCAACAGGTCAGAGGGAAGGGTCTCTGAGCAACAGAGGTGCTCAGAAAAGAGTAAGCCTGTGTCTCAAGGGAGCTTTATGGGTACCCAAGTGTCCCGATGGCCAAGTAGGACTGTGAGGGGCACAAGAAGAGGATGACACATAGAAAGGCTTGTCTTTTTTTTATCTGGATAGTCCAGTGGGCTTGACAGGATAGGTATTGCTCTCATTCAGAAATAACCATGTAAGGGCTAAATAAAGTATGAGATATAAAGTAATAAACAGATATAAAAAATTATGTTTCCAGTTCTGGCCAGTATGACTCAGTTGGTTAGTGTGTCATCCCATGCACCAAAAGGTAGTGGGTTCAATTTCCAATTAGGGCACATTCCCAGGTTGTGGATTCGATGCTTGGTTGAGGTGTATGTGGGAGGCAACTGATTGATGTTTCTCCCTCTCTTCTCTCTCTCTCTCTAAGATCAATTAAAAAGAATGATGTTTCCAAATATTAGGGATGTTAAAAAAAAATGCTCACTATATATTAAGTGGAAAAGAAGGATACCAAAATATAAAGTATGAAACTCATTGGCTTATGAATAAGTTTATTAAATTAAAAAAAAAAGACTGGAAGAAAATATACCAAAAATGCTGACAGTGTTTGTTTGTCAGAAGTTATTTTTTTCTTCTTACTGACCTAGATTTTCTGGATTTTTTATGGTTAATATTTAGAAATGTTTGTAATGTGAAAATTAAAGGTTGTTAAAATGAAAAGCATAGGAATAAATGATAAGGTGCTACTCGTAAGTCAAAAGGAAGTTCCTGGTGGTTGGCCATGGGGTGGATAGGATGGAGCTGGGTTTTGATGAGAGAGAAGGCCAATCAGCAAGAGAAACAACATAAGTAGAAGCAAGAACCAGAATCTCAGAGTCAAACAGAATCTGAGTGACAGAGACATCATCTAGTCCCAAAGCCACATTGTATAAGGACCGTGTGAGACCCAGACAGGGGAAGTGACTGGTCATGGCCAGGACACAGACGTCATTAGCACAGGGGTAGTTTGTGTCTCCAAACCATGGGCCAGGACAGTGAAGCCACTGATTGGGCCTGGGGCGGCCTGAGCTGTGGTGCTAAATTTGGGACAGACTCAAGAATATGACTTTAAGAATCAAGAGACATGAGAAGTAAACACCAAGAGAAATTATACCTCTGCTCCCACTGGGTCCTACAACTACACAACAGGCAATTATCATTTGCGTGTGCACATGTCTGTGCTAGAGACAGAAGACAGCTCTAGATGGTCTCTGAAAGCCCCTCCCTTCCATCAGTCTGTGATTTATGGATTCACAGAACACCTAACAATAGCCTGCAAAGCCTTCCCTTCACCGAGTCCTGCGAAGGCAGCAAACAAAGCTCCAATGATAGGGAGACAGGCAGAGCAATTGGTGCTGAGTCTCAAGACTTCCTGTCAGTTCTTTCTCAGACGAAAGCTCTTCTTGTCCACTGGAACAAATTACAATGACATGAAATCTTAAAGGGAAAAACAGTTTACTAGTGTGAGTCAGACATTATTATTTTATTTAAGATGCTCTTCTACCTGTCTTGAAACTCTAGGATTCTCTCCTGCAGAAAAGTGACTAGAATTCAGTGTGTTGCCCAGGCACAGAAGCCCACTCCAGCCAGGGAGCCTCAGAACAATGGAACCAAGAGCGAAAGGTTGCATTTGAGGAGGGAGGGAATGGGAATACTGACAGACCACCTCCAGAGGGGAAAACTATTCAATAATAAAAAGTTTGCATTGGAACGTTCTCTAAAGGCACTTGGGGAGAAAGGAGG